GCAGAATGACAAAAGAAGGAGAAAAAAATCAAGTCAGATGCATGCCTGCGTATGAGTTTTCTCTATTTTGGGTATCTTCAGTTTTGACTTTTTTTAGTGGTGCTTTGCATCGTTGCTTTATTCGTTGTACGATACACTGAAATCTTATCTTTAATTATATAGTGTGGCATTTGTCTTATGAAATTTCAAAGTTTCTTGATAAATTCTCTTTTTTAGTTTTCATCCTTAACCAGTTCAATACCGAGGCACGTAACAATGAAAAGAGTTTATGAAAAAGATAGTATTGGGCAAGACATATAAGTTTCTCTGCAGACACCAAACTACTGTAAGTGGGTGTTTCTTTTGCCATAAATGAATTAAATCACATGGAAAGTGTATCGACTAGTTCATCGAATTACTATGCAACCAGTCAGGGCGAGTGAAATCCAATTCCCGAGAACAATACTAGTGTCATTCAGATAGCTATTAATTTTGTGTTTCAATGATCGTAATAAGCACATAGAAGTACATGTTCATTACATTCAAAAGCTGGTTGATGATAACCATCTTAAGATTTACTACATTACCTCTGAAGATCATATTGCGGATTTGTTGACGAAAACAATCTCTTCTAGTCAACATTGGTATCTTTCCGGAAAATTGATGATTTGCACTGCCCATTAATGTGGGGAGGGTATTAAGGATAAATTTGTTAAGGAATACTGTATAATTCTTGCAAATTATAGGTGTTGAATTGTATTTGGGGATAGCCGAATACTATATAAATATGTTGGCACTATGTAGTTGTTTCTTATAGGGTTTTAGGGCACTCGAGTCTTTCTTATTATTCGTGAGCGTGTTCAGTCAGATGACATTGCTCCTCTGAAAGTCAGGTCATATCTCCAACTTGCATATATGTTCACTAAAGGTCTTGGTGTCGAATGTTTTCATTTTCTTCTTTCCACGTTGTCAGTTCGTGAACTTCCTGCTCCAATTCACGGAGGGAGTATTGTACCAGCCAATCGAAGAGCCCATCGAAGATTCTTATAGCCCTGTTTCAGGTGGGAAAACAGGTTGGATGGGTTGCTCCTGACTTCTTATGAAGATGACGATTGTTACTACGGTGCACACCTCTTCAAACACTGTTCGAATGAGGGTGTTTGGTGTATGGGGAATCTACGTTACCTTACGCTACTCCTATGTAGATTCCTTGAGAGCTCCGCTACTACAACTAACTACTACTATGGAGGATCCTTCATGAAGGAGAGCTCCGCAAACTACAGAGAAAATAAAAAAAAGGGACAGTTGAGACAAGTTGTCTTTGTGTTGAGTTGTGATTATCTGCCTTGCCCCATCTTGCTTCAAGTTTTGTTGCCAAGATTTGTTCAATTGCCCTCCCTCCTTCTCCCAAAAAAATAGCTCCGCTTAGCCTCTACGCAAGTCAGTTGTCGCCAAAAAGTCTCTGGACACTTCACCACGTCATCCTATTTCAACATGGATGGTACCATCCAACTAGTACTTTGGATGGTATCCATGTAATGGGATGGTCACCAACCAATCAGTCCTTTGGATGGTGTCCATGATATTTGGGATGGTACCATCCACCATAGGGTTGGGATGGTAACCATGGTGTGGGAGGTCACCATCCACTTACGCCTGTTTGGCAACAAGGGGGGTGCGAATTCGAGGGGGGGGTGCAAGTTGAGGAGTAAATTACAGGAGGGTGCAAATTGGTGGGGGGTTTAAGTGGAGGGGTAAATTGTTGTTTGGATAAAAATGTAGGGGGTGCAAATAGACTGAAAAGTGAATAATTATATTATTAAAAAATAGATTCATAAAATATTATCACAAAAGAATAAAATAAATTATTACAAAATAAATTATAACATATATAATTTATGAAAATAATTTTTATATAATAATGCTCAAATAATAATTAATTATAACAACTGTAATAATCATAGATCGAGCGACCTCGAAGGAGACTCGTAACTGGTCATCCTACATGATTCTTGTGTATAATTTAACTTTCAATTAAATATGGTCAAGCTTAGTCAAACACGTTCTAATCTGTAAGTTTTAAATATTTAGTCAAAATGTCAAATAAATTAAGTCAACCAAACCGTTCCTCGCTATCTTTTCCATAAGCACAATCGTATCTCTAGTTTCTAACACAAATTTGAGTCAACTAAGAGACCTCGATTTAACTAGACGAACATTCATAAACTTGCTCTCAGAGTCAAACGGTCCACCCCAAGTATATCTAAATTAAAGATAATTAGAAGAAAAGAAATTGATAATATTAATTATTATATAATTATAAGACAATTAAAAATTTATTAGAAAATTAATTTTCTCCCTCTTCCTCTCCCCCTCCCCCTCCCCCTTCTCCTTCCTTCCTCCCCTTCCCAAACGTTAGAGTTTGGATGGTGTCCACTATGTGGGGATGGTCACTATCCAATTAGTCATTTGGATGGTATCCCTGATCTTGGATGGTATCCATGTTGTTGGACATTACCATCCATAATAGGATTTGGATGGTATCCATGATGTTGGACAGTACTATCCATAATACGGTTTGGATTGGTATCCATTATGACGGATGGATGGTAACAATGTTGTAGTTGGTACAGTCACCATCTTGGATGGCTACCTTACGACAAGCTACTACCTGCCAAACAGATGGCCCAACCATCCAATTCGGACCACCGGGTCCATATACGGGCCAACTACTTGAGGTGTTCCAATTATTCATAAATACTACATGTGATATAATAAATTTATTTTGGTGTAAACAAATACCCCCCACAACTTAGTTCATAAGAAATTATGAACTAAGTTGTAGACATCAACTGCTCTAGGTACCAAACCACACGAATCACCCAGTGGCTTGTACGACACCCCATCACATAAGGAGTCCCCTTCCTTCATGGTCAAGTCACACATGACAGTAATTTATGTCACGTCCAATTCTTACTCGGCCACAGACACCAATTTTTTTATTCGGCTATGAGAAAGCCTAGCAAGTTAATTAAACCCTAAATAGCCAGGCCACAAAAACTGTGGCCTTAGTAATAATTTATCCCTTTCTGATAAGGAGTACAAATTCTTTTTCATGTAGGACACATCTTCTTAACTCATATCCTACTAACAAAAAGAAACTTACTACTATAAGGACACAACGATTTTTTTTTCCTCTATAAATTGGGGATTTTTCCAGAAATAGCACCTTTAAAAAAATTACAAAAATAGCACTCATTCCGTAGAAATTACAAAAATAGCACCCTTTTTTAAAAACCTACAACCTTATTCACCTCATTGGTTGAATGACTGTGGCACGATATTAAGGTCATCAAGCAAGCATTGGTTGAATTCCAAATGGGAGAGTACAAGAAGAGATAAATAGAGATTCTTTGTAATGTTGCACCAATGTAGGCCGCTCACCTCCTGTTGGGTCGTCCATGGCAGTTCGATCGAGGTGTAGTTCATGAGGGGAGGAACAATTGCTACAAGGTCAAACATGAAGGTTTGAAGATTCTTCTCAAACCATTGTCGCCCAGCCGAAGTTTGAGAAGATCAACAACAAATTGAGCTGAATTGGGCAATGGAGAAAGGGAATGAAAGTGGTTTGAAGTCGGAGAACGAAAGTGGAATTCATCTTATGGCGCGAAGACAAATGTTGAATGCTAGGGCTGGGAAACAGTGCGGTCTGGTCCAGACCGGACGATATATACGGTCTACAGTTCAGACTGAGAGGCTAGAGTATAGACCACAGACTATACGGTCTGGTCTGGTCCAGATAGACCACACTCAACATGAAATGTACAATTTGTTTAGTCAACCACAAAAATATTTAACCAATAGCCAAGAAAAAAGTTGTTTTTCCCTTAAAACATAAATTCTAACATGTATGAATAATTTTGACATGCTAAATCTCATCACATAACAAAGATACAGAGTCAAAGCATCACAACTTGCATCATAACGTTATATATAAACATCAACATATTGTCATATGGAGACACGATTGTCTCTACTCTTTGGTGAAATGTGGTTGTGAATGAAGGAGGGGACAAGATTCTCAAAAGTAAGGTTGAGACTTGGGTCTCGTTATGGGAGTTGAAAGAGTGGTCGAGTGGGCTTCTAACATGTTTTGACAACTCCGCTGGGTCCACGGTTTGGTCCGGCAAAACCGCGGTCTAGACTAGACCAGACCAAGAGATCGAAACATCATATAATACAGACCATGGACCAGACCATACCATACTTAACGGTCTACGGTCCGAACCAAACTGGTTCAGTATGGACTACAGTTTTTCTAACGGCCTCGTCTATTTTCCCAGCCCTATTGAATGCTCTAATTAAACTCGGTTGGGAAATTCCGGTGATGGTATCTCTTGGAGGAACAAACAAGCTTTGAGGGCAAAACTTTTTCGACGAGAAGGGACTGATGCAAGCCTAAAGAGTGACCCAAAGTCATTCTCGTGGAAGCCAGAAGGGATCGAAGTCTCCGGCAAAAGGATTGGGATAGGAGAGTTCCCTTGACTGTGGAACATAAGAATATACTGGGGAATAGCCTCTTGACTGGTTAAAATTTTAATTCTAAACTGTTTACTGAATAGTAACACCCCAACCAATCTTTTATATATCAACAACAATCAATAATATTGACTTTAAGGTTATATGTATATTTTTAGCAATTAATGTAAGAATCCCCTTTTTTGTTCTTGAAAGGTACGAATTTTAAATACATATTAAACAAACAATATAAATTTAGACAAGTCTATTTTGCATAAATTTTGATAGATAGATTCCATAGAAATTCGAGAGTTTCCAACGCCAGCCCATCCATAAACTCTTTACTTAAACCGCAAAAGCATCAATGATCACTAAAAGCGACAGTCGGAAGCTTAGAGGTCAAATTAAAGATGTTCTTGCAGACTAAAAAGAAAGCAAAACTCGTGCATAAATATATGACTTAACTTCATTCATTACTCAGTCAGATGCAACCTCCTGCAACTCTAACCTAACGAGACTTGACCATCAGAGAAAACTTGGCTAAACAAGTCTTCCAACTTCTGACTTCTATCCTCGTACTCTTGCGCGCATGCAGTACTCTTGTTGTTACCAAACCACTCCGAAACTTCTCTCAACGCCCTCTTCGCCGCCGCGGTCTTGATACCATCTTCCAGGTGATCATCAAGCTTGTCATCAGCCAATGCCTCCTTCAGATCATGAATGTGCCTCTCCAATCGGTTCCTCGCGTTAACACGTGTCCTCTCCTTCTTGTCTTGCTCGGCCATCTCCCTCCCTTCTCTGATCATCCTCTCGATCTCCCTCGAACTCAAATTCCTTGTGTAGCTGTCGATGGTGAGGGTTTTAGAATTCCCGCCGCCGGTTGCTCCATACTTGGCCGTCACGCTCAAGATTCCATCCGCGTCAACTTCAAATGTCACCTCAATAGATGGTTCTCCTTCTCCCCTGTGGTTGCATATATACATATGCAGTTATAAATGTTGTTGTGATTATGGCAACAGATATTCTACCTAGCTATACATACCTTCGTCCCGATGGAACGCCTGTCAACGTAAAGCTTCCGAGCAGAAGGCAGTCATTGGTCAGGGCTCTTTCACCTTGGAATATCTGGAAAATGAAATCGTAGATTATTCACATAGATAGCCAGCAAAACCGGTTACAATATGTATGCGTATAGATTTGATAAAAAAACTATAACCTGAATAGACACACTAGTTCGCTGTCCATGAACAGGTTTGGCGGGTACGAATCCTGCGCGCGACTTCTTTGTAGGAATGACAGTATTTCTGGGCACCACTACATGCATCAGATTGTTTAGGATTCTGATCCCCAAACTCAAGGGAGTGACATCAAATAGAATAACACCTGTACGTACAATACCAAATATAGATATAACACGTAGTTATTGTATCAGCAAATTAGTTATTTGTTGAAAGAAATGGAACCCTAAACATGAAATTGTGAGGAACATAACATGATTACCGGCTTGGTCGCCATTGAGACTGGCTCCATAGACAGCTGCACCATAAGCCACAGCTTCGTCGGGATTGATCCCTTTGCTCGGCTCCTTCCCATCGAACGCCTTCTTCAACATCTCCCTCACCCGGGGAATTCTCGTGCTTCCACCAATCAACACGATCTCGTCGATCTCGTCCTTGTCCAGCTTTGCATCGACCAGCGTCGACTTCACCACGTCCAGTGTCCTCTTGAAGAGATTCATGTTCAAATCCTCGAACGTCGCTCTCGTGAATGGCTCGGAGAAGTCGTCCATCCCTTGTATCAGGGAATCAATCTCCACCGTAGTTTGTGTCTGAGTGCTCAGTACCTTTTTCGCCCTCTCGCATTCCCTACGCAGCTTCGCCATAGCTTTCGGGTCGTCTTCACTAACATCTTTTGCGAACCTTTTCCTAATCCGATCGACAAAGTAGTCTATTACATTCTGGTCGAAATCTCGACCACCGAGATGCGTGTCACCCCCTGTGGCCCGTACCTGAAATATGCCGTTGTTGATCTCCAAAACGCTGACGTCGAACGTCCCGCCACCTAAATCGTAAACGAGAATATTCCTCTTTGTGTCAGGATCTTGTTTCACACCATAAGCTAGGGCAGCGGCCGTGGGCTCGTTGATTATCCGTACAACGTTGAGCCCGGCGATGATGCCAGCGTCTTTGGTCGCTTGCCTCTGGGAGTCGTTGAAGTAGGCAGGGACGGTGACCACGGCCTTGGTTACTTCCTTCCCAAGGTACGATTCCGCGGTCTCCTTCATTTTCAGCAGCACCATGGCGCTTATTTCTTCCGCGGTAAAGGTTTTCAGCTCGCCATTAACTTCGACTTCGACGCAAGGCTTTCCGTCCCTGTTGACGACGGGGTAGGGCAAGTACTTGAGATCGTTCTGGACTTCTGGGTCGTCGAACTTTTTCCCGATGAGACGTTTGAGGTCCAAGATTGTTCGTCGGGGGTTGCGTACAGCCTGATTCTTGGCGGATTCGCCGATGAGACGTTCGGTATAACCGGCGGCGGGAGGTGAGAAAGCTACATAAGAAGGGGTGGTTCGATTGCCTTGATCGTTGGTTATGATTTCGACGGCGTGACCCTTTCGAGCGACGGCGACGCAGGAGAAGGTGGTGCCTAGGTCTATCCCTATCACTTCTCCACTGATTTCTCCGCCCCCCATAATTTTTTTTTTCCCCCGGGTAATTTAGGCTTTTGTGTATTGAGTACTCGAGTGTTGATTGAGTGAATGAATGAATGAATCGTTTTAAGTTGTATATATAAAACGTCTGCCTTTTGTTGCCTATAAATTACTAGGGCGCCTTTCCAGTTTCCTCCTTACAGCTTTGAAATTGTGAATCTGGCTGTGGGGACTTAAGTGCGACTCTTCATCTACCAAGACTCCGGTTGGAATTGCGAAGTGGGCACTCGCAGCCGAAGTTTTTTAGGGTAAACACTCCAGCGGTGAGAGATTGCGATTGGCAAGAGTAGAAATAATGAGTGAAGTGTACGGATGGTAAAATAAACAAATCTTTGTGGATATTCAATCTAATTTGAACTGATTTTGTTGGTGAAAATCTAACTTACATGATTTTTTTGGAATACGATGAGTAATAAATTTGGTACGATTATGGTATTTTAAGTATACATTATGAAATTTACATGAATCGACATTCACTATAACTAGAGATAGGGATAGGCGAAATTGAAGTGTTATCTCACACCTGCGAAAAGGCTCTATCAATATAGGGTAGAAGTTTGTCTACAATCAAGAGGAATACTCGATTGATACAAAGCAGAACAATTCACAAGCTAAAAACTCAATGAACCAAGAATAAAACCAATATCTCCTCTAAAACTCATGTGTAAGCCTTTAAATAGGCCAAACAAACAAAAACATATCAAACCCCCAAAAATGAAAAGAATGCTAAACACAAAAAGTAAATTTTGCATAATGATGGTACACTTAGATTAAAAAAAGACACAATCAAAACATCTTGATGATTTTCTTTTAAATTTTTGGATAAGTATTTCTTTTGGACTTTTCCTTTTCTACATAAAATTATTGATCATAACTTATTCCAATTACCAACCGTGGATAAAAAAAAAACTATATGGATTATACATATATTAAGAAGATTTCAAATACCTCCATGAACAAAGTGGTATGTGTTTTTTGAAAATTTATAAAATAAAAATAAAAAGTACGAACATTGACAATTAAAATAAAACTACAATAAAAATCAATTTAGTATTGGTGGTAACTGGGGGACGACGATGGTGAAATATGGTAAATGTTGGTTCGTATAATTCTACTATTACTACAATCATGTTACATTATGATATATTTATATTATCATTGTACAATTTCATGTTACCATGATAAAATCTTATGTACTACCAAATATTATCATCATGGTTTGTACAATTTCATTTTTGAAGAGCATGATTAACCTCATTTTTCGTACAAAAATGTGAATTTGAATTTGAAGTATAAAAGTTTATAACACGTTGAGAAAAATTATACATAACCAGTTTGTTGATTAGATCCGCTCACCCTAAATCTAACTAACACATCACCCTACGACCGAGTAGCAACTGAGCGGTTAAAACAAGAAGGCCGGGCCGGGGAGTCCAGAGGGTACTGCCGGTCTGCTCCGGGCCCAAGACTAGAATTGTGAACTGGTCAGGCCCGTGAAAGCTCACCGTCAACTACCCATTAAAAAAGTACTTGCCCAGAACAGCCTTATCCGAAACTCGCCTTCGATAACAAAACTACACCTTCCTTTCCGTTCCCTCCCTCGCCCCAGCCGTTTTTATTTTCAGTCCATCGCCTCCGCCGTCATGTTCGCCGCCTCCGCCTCTTCGCTGCAACATGTCCGCCAGCCGGCCAATGCGGTTCTACTTCCCCTTTCCTCATACCATCCCCTTCTTCTACATAAAATTTCACATCTTTGTCTCAATACTCAAAATACCATTGTCTTTTTTTTTTTTTTTGCAGGGGACCGGTGCTTCAGGGGAGCAATACAATCCGACGGCGAAGATTAAACCATCTTTCCAAAAGGCGGCAGATTGTAGTAATTCATGCCTTTCCCCCAAATTATCATACTCTGTTCATTGTCTGAATCTTCCGAGGAATTCGGTAAAGGTATGGGCGGGCAGAAGGAGGAGAATGATCCACGATAAGACGGACACGTACGTGTTTCTGGAGCCAGGGGAGGATGAGACATTTGTTAGCGAAGAAGAGCTCAAGGGGAAACTAAAGAGCTATTTGGAGAACTGGCCGGTGAAGAGCTTGCCGCCGGACCTAGCTAGGTTCGAGGCCATTGACGATGCTGTTTCGTTCTTGGTGGGTTCGGCATGCGAGCTTCAGATCGATGGAGACGTTGGCTCACTCCAGTGGTATCAAGTTCGTTTGGAGTGATTGAAGTGAAGGAGATTTGAATTGAGGTTGGAGCGTCTTTTCTCTGCGGGTGTACGTATTTTGCAGGTAAATTAGACGGCCGAATATGATTAGTCCAAAACGATTTACTTCCGCGAACGCAGATTCCTTATCGTTGATTGTTGAGTGTTGACTGACCGAGTTGGGCTTTCTCTTGTTGACTCCTCACTTCCAACTTCTCTGTTACGTTCAAATATTCAAAGCAACAAGTCTACAACCGAACGTGTTATTAGGGAACAAAGCAAGGAGACTTTTCAGCGACTAAGTTGACGATGTTCTTCTCGCGACCAATAAATCGAATTCAATGTGGGAGTAGTCGCCATATAGTCTTACATTACGCTCTAATGAAGCTTATCACTGATCACTTTCTCCTTATCATATGATTATTTTTACTCTATGATTGTGATTGTCACACCATTGCAAGAACTAAGCAGACAAGCTGCCAAACCTAAACTTGAGAAGGGATAAACGAACCCATCAACCAAAAGTGGGAGCACAACAGAGATGTTACAACAATTTACAACCCATATATAGGCTAAATTACAAACCACCATCAGTATGGAAGAGGAATCCACTTGAACCTCGATCTGCACTTTAGTCTGCCGCCTGGAGCTGCAATGTTTTTGGCAAGCACAAACAATTAGGATGCGAAGTAGAATGATTGCAGTGACTAATTGCGGTTCTCATTGATGGGTTAAACAATACCTTTTGGGACAGATTTGTGCCGATGGGCGGCAAAGGTAATGGAGCTCCTTTTCCTCCACCCCTTCTTTTCCTTCCCATAAGCCCTCTCGTGATCGGAGAAACCATCGCATCAGTCGGACTCCTGTACCTGGAAACCAATAACCGAACAACGACCACTCTTTCATCCCAGTAAAAAGTAAAACTTACTCCCAGTAAAATTAACTGCCACTTCACACAGGGGAGCTGCATATTTTACTGATGAAAACGATAGATGAAAACGCTTGATCTTAACAGAAGTCGATCTGCCTATGGATAACGGATCTGCAGGGTGGGAAGAAGGTGATGAGGACATACCTTTCTGGGTACTTGAGAGCCTTGGGAACTTGGAGGGGAACAAGAACGGGGATGTTGTTGCCACCACCGCCGCTGCTTCTGCTCAATTCTCCGGCGCCACTGATCACTTCATCGGACTCAGGAGATGAACTCTGCTGCTGCTGCTTCACGGTTGATTCCAGCTGAGAAATCACAGCACTTGTTTGATTTGATTGAATAAGCTTGTTCTCTACTACCACTTCTTCCATGGCTCAACTTCAGCAAGTCACTTGCCTGATGACTGATTGATTAATAAAGATACAGAGAAGGGGAGATAGATAACAAAAGGAAGAGTTTTGGGTTTGGCCGGTTTTCTTTAATAATGGAAAGGAGAGACGAGTTCTTTCGGCTGTTTCTGTGTGGCAGTGGCAACAACGGAGTATAGACACAGTTTTCTTCTGCTTTATTGTGATAAGGGTGAAGTAAAACGTGGGTCGTTGTTGAACGTTTGAGTGGGGCAAATAATAAAGGAAACTAAGACAGAATTGGTCATCATTGGTTTCACTCCAACCACTATTTGTGGCTGCGACGACCGTTGGGAGGTAGTGGGTATTCCATGGCTCCACCACCAATCTATAGCAAAGTAATCGAAGAAGATAGTGCACATTGGTTGAAAGCAATACAGGGTCTTCAAGTCCAAACCAAAAAGACACTGCTAACTAAAACACCCTTTACTTGTATACCAAAGAATAGTTATTTTCTTTTCATATAGAAGAAAGCATCAATAGAAGGACAAATTCTGTGCCTGGATTCTACCAAGTTACCTTCCATCTCTACCTTTTCAATGTATCCAGAACTCTCTACAACTGGAACTCCTGGAATGACAAAAATGCACAAGTTTATCAACTCATAGTAACAGAGGCAGCAGCAGGGGTAATTCTTCGGCTCTCGCAGCCAGGGCAGTTGTGCAAGCTCTCGTGAATATAAATGTCGCAATCAAGGCAGAAATACTGCTTGCACTTTGTACAAGCCGCACAAGGGCCAGCCTTGTTAGTACCTGCGATAGAAGCACCACATCAGCAAGCTTAACACTTTTACCAAGCCAGTCCATTTAATGACATCTGAAATACGAGAAGTGTCGAGGGAAACACAATGCACTTCATATAAGAATCCACTATTCTATTCAAGTAACTATTTCAGCAAACCAAGAAACAGTCATAGACATTACAAACTCAAAAGTAACAGTAGTGCCAGCAGTAGAGTTTATAGCCCCCAAGTGGCAGCACCAGAAAAATAGCTCGTATACCTGACATATAACCAACTTCAGTCGTGCATTATCAATACTGCTAGTTTATTGCTAAGTAACCCACTACCAGAGTTTGCTGCCAAAAACTATATACATATACTGATTTCCAACAGATAACGTTGCATATAGATAATTTGTATTAGCACAACTTACCAGGAGTTAGAAGGCTCTCTCGACAACTGAAGCAAGTTTTTGAAGCTACTCTACTCAATTCCAATTGACGTGCAGATACCTCGGTGAATGGCTCGATTGGGAAAAGATGATGATAAGATCTAGCTAGATGGGGTGACGAGACAAGTGTCAATCCACAAAAACGACATTCTGTGGGCAGTTCACATACACGGGCTTTGCATCTTGGACATATATACCCTTCACCTACTTTAGCTTCTCTGTGGCAGGAGCAGATTGCTATAGAACCTTCTGCTGCTCTTTGTGGGAAACCCATCTTGATCAAGTTCGCAATGGCGAATTCAGCAAGGGCAGGAGGAGGTGGTGCATGCTCTAGTAAGAGCTCTTTGAAGTGACCCTGTAAGAAGAGAATGTGCACCAGTTCCATCAGTGAAATATAATAAGAGCAGCCTCAAGAGAACCGAAAAAGAGAAGATAACCATCCATTAATCAACAAACAGAACGAGCAACAGAGAGTAACTTTCATAAACTAATCACTCATTTCAAATTTCAATGAACAGACTCCAGACAGCTTTTTTAGTGATAACTACTTGATTATGTAATTCTTGCATATAATGAAGAAAATCAAACAGTTCAGTTTAAATTCCGCAGGGGCATTAGATAATCAAACTAACCTCATCCAAGGCAACCATGTATGACCCACCAGTTTCCTGGCAAAGATGTTTGCACACAAACATTTCGGCAGAGAGGCCAATAACTGAGCACCTTAGTTTAGCCTTCTTGCATTTCTGGATAGTCTCCATTATATCACCCGGATCACAGGTTGAGAGTGCAGAATACAAAATGAGAACTTCACGGTGACCATATGATGGGATTTTATGGAGAGTGTCATGGACAAGTTCAAGAGCATTCTGGAGTGACGAGTCCCCTGCACAACCTAACTTACCCATCAAGGCCTTAATATGGGCCTCAGGACTCCCACCAAGTTCGGTCAAAGATTGAGCTACCCCATCTTTTATAATCACCAGACCAATCTGACTAAGTGGGTTCTGGTCGAAAAACTCCCTAATGAAAGCCTCAACATGTTTTGCAATCACAGCCATGCGACTTGGTTTGAAATCCATCTCTCCAGCTGCCTGCCGAAAATTGACATCAACACTTCAAATTCAAGCTAACAACCAAATCGCTTAGAATCTTTCATTCATAATTTCTGATGTACAAGTTCCACTTAAGACTGAGAATAACTAGAGGCTAATAACTAAAATCAAGCTAATAACCAATCAACACACATTCTCAAATTCAAGAAACCAGCAAGCATTTCGCAACAGGTTATACAAATCATCAACACTGACTTTAACTACATCAAACTGATAACAGTTAGTCATAAACTACTGCTAAAAGTAAGGGTTCTAGTTTTAGACTTTCAGGACTTGATCTTGGAGGGACAGGTCATATGAGAGCCATGTATTGATCACCTCAAAAGTAATTCCACCATCAGCTATAACCCTATATCATATGAAAATCAATAATACCTTGGAAAGATCGACCACTACACAGAGAAACCGAATGAGCCCCTTTTGGATCCTCGATGCAGCGGACGTGGCTGAAAGAGATTGAAGGCGTCTACGATACTGAGAATGGTAGATTGCTTTGTTATCAATAGGTTGAAGCAGTCCTGACTCGTCCTCTTCCAATGCCTCCCATGATCTCTCGTCTGTGTATGTCCTCTCCCACGCATCACGCCCTTCATCTTCAACATCTTCTTCATTCTCTTCTTCTGCTTCACCGTTCATCCGCTTCTTTTCACTATTGTTCATGATTCTTTCTTTCTGGCTAGGGATTCAGGATTTCTTTATACCTCAAAGGCTCAAACCCAGGGAAATGCTATTCCAACGCTCAGACAATTTTCATTCTAGAAATTGATTGCCAAATCGAAGAACAACCCAGAAACTGGCGCCCCACTATCACAGTTTCCATTTAAGAAAAAGCTAGTCGGTGCAGAGGCTCCAGACTCGATTATCAGTTCACTGGAGCTGAACCGGACTGAACATTGATGCATCCGAAACAGCTGAGCTAGAAACTGAAAGCTTCCGCCGCTGCCAGATTGGCAAGAAACCAGATAGAGAGGAGGAAGAGAGAGGCCAACGAACGGTGAGATGGACAGCAACTCCGGCGACAAGATAGGGAGCCGGCGGGGAAAGGAATTGGTTTTGAGGTTTTATTGGACTACCGAATCCGAATGTACTGATGATCTTCTTCAGCCCTAATTTTCATTTTACGCCATATCCCATTTAATCCCCTGAACAATTTTAGTTATTCTTTTTGACCTTTGAATTTTATGGTTTTACCTATAAAAGCCCCTTGAAAAATAAATTTCCCATTAAGCTCTGGCACCAAATTTGCATGGTAAAGGAAACCATACCGGAAGTCATACCGGATCCGCTAGTGGTAGGGTATTTTGTGGTACTACCGTGGTTCAACCATTGTGTACCGGCAAAATACCGTTTTTGTAATTAAAACATATTTTTTTATAAAAAAACCGTACCGACAGATCCAGTATACCGTTTCGAAATAATACCGGAATATACCGGATAACATATCTGAATAAACTAAATAGGCATATTTAATATAACAATCAACAAACTGCAACATTACTAAATTAACTACATGATCGAAGTTACCATCATTTTGAGATGTTGGGTTCAAACTTTAAATTGCATGGAAACCTTAGTCTGGTGTAAGCCCTGCCTATTCTTAAAAGCCAAAGAGAGATGTGGGTAATGAACAGAAACGTCTGCAGAGGGCCAGTGGGAGAAGGCATGGCACTACAGGAAAATGTTCCTTTAATCACGGGAAATCCCATACTTGAAAGTGTGTTTCCCGTGTTGTACTTTGCCAGTTGTACTGTTTAGACTGCTACCACTGCTTATACTGCTGCTAGCTGTATTGCTTCTCCTGCTACTAATGTCGGTTGTACTATTTATGTTGCTTTGCTGCAGTAATTACTACTACTAATGCTGCTATGGCTACAAACGGCAGAAGCACAAGTTAAGGATGTAAGTTAAGAAGGTAAAGTTCATCAACCTGCACTGGTTGATGGTCAATAAATAGTGACATGAACAGAGGACTAGAATCCTTTTAGAAGATGTTAAATTTCTCACCTCAACAACCTTTTTCTCACATCAATTTTATAATTGAATTTGTGTTTAGTAACAGAAATCAGTCATCAAACTATAGTTCATGTACAAGTGAGTCAACAAACTACAGATACACCGTCCAAAAACTAACAGCCACTGAATCATGCTAAACATCAGTTATAAAACTATAATTTATGTGGCGCGTTTAAGAACCAGCAGCTAGTGTAATAGTTGGAACAAGAGAATAGCCAGCAATAACTGTTAGGCTGTTACAGTCCTCAAAGCAACAGCTAGACTCACAGGTTCTTCAAAAATAGCAGATGAATCACCAGTTCTTATAGTTTTTCTGCTGCCACAACTTCTACTTCAAACTAACAAATGACAACTAAAATTTGAATAATCAAGGGGTCATAACTCACTACTCATATCTCTTTGAGAAGGCTGTAAATCACTCCAAATCGACTCATTTATTTTCCTGAAGACAAAATCAAAAGGAAAGCACATTGTAGACTACACACAAGTATATAAAGGGTACAAGTACTCACTTCCCCTTAAAAGTATTTCTACCTTCTATCTTAAATTAATACATGTCCTCTAACTAGTTGTGGTACAAACTCACTACCCTTTTAGGGTACTTCCTAAACCTGACTTCCTAAGCCTGCAACAAGTAAGTTAATCTATGATTGGATACCAAAAGCAGAAAGAAGGCAAAGCAAAAATATCACGACTTAAAATGTATCCTTATTTGTCCTAGGAGATGCGCGCCGGCTGAGGAGCAGGAGAGGGAGAGGCGAGGCGCGTCGGCTGCGGAGCGGTGGAGCTGAGCAGCGTGGCGGAGCGGCGGATCTGCTCGATCTTTCGTTGGTCGCCACTCGCCAGAGAAGATGAACGGAAGAGCGGCAGAGAAGGATCGCGGGTCACGGGTTCGCCAATCGGGGGTCGCCGGTTGTGCTGGAGCGGCGGGGCGGGGTTGCGCTGGACGGCTGGAGAAGAAAGAATGCAGGAAACGAAAGCGGCTCCAGATTTTTTATAAGGGTTTTTGTGTTTTTGGTCGATTTTTTTTTGTTTACTATTTTATGTGCCAAAACGACGTAGTTTTTGTTCCTATAGCTTACCGCCGGTTAGACCAAAACCGGACAGTTTTTTGTTTTGTACCGGTTAAGCTGGAAAAACCGGCCGGCACGGTATTCTTCCCACAAACAGCTTACCGTATCGTTCCTGGTCCGGTTTCCAGTTTTACTGGTTGAACCGGCCGGTACGATCTGATTTCTTGGTCCATGCAAATTTGATGTTCCTAAATAGTAAATAGGCGATTCTATCCAGAATTGGCTAGACTTCACGCAATCAATCAAAGTTACCTCATCGAAATTCAAATTGAATGACTAAAATATCATCTCAGTCTTGTTCTCTTTTTTCCTCATCAAAACCTACAATTCAACTCTTATATAACCATTATTCGCGATTTAGAAGGAAATAATGATGACTCTCACGAGTCGAATAATTGTATGACTCTACCTTCGATCACCCTGCATCTTCGTTGTTGTTGCACTAGAGTGCCTTTCCCATAATACCAAGACTCAAAATCTCAAAACGGCACTACATGTCAACAATATAACATCAAAGTTCTTAATATACCACATCATTGAAATGTAAGTTTGATATTATGGCTCAAAATAAATCTCACAATGGCAATTACATGTAGAGGTGGCAAATGGATTGGATTGGTGGATTGGATTGGTGGATCCATGGATCAAATGGATTGGATTTAATGGATTGGTGGATTCATGGATTGGATCAAGTGAATTGGTGGATTATCCATGAATCCAAATTACATACTCAACCAAGGACCAATATGTAAAATGTAAAAAGTTTAGGTACTAAAATGTCACAATGAAAAATTTTAGGTACCAAAACGTAATTTTCCAATGATATTTTTCGTATAAAAAATTAAATTTTAGGTACCAAAATGTAAAAAATAAAATTATAGGTACTAAACTGTAATTTACCAATGATCCATGGATCCAATCCATGAATCCACCAATCCAATTGGATTTGGATCAAATGGATTGGATTTAAATGGATTGGATTAGGTGGATATTTTTAATGGATTGATGGATTGGATTGGTGGATTGGATTGAAATTGCCACCTCTAATTACATGTCATCAAGAATAAAATCACTTAATTAAGTGTAGTTCAAATACCAAACTAGGCACTTATTACATCATTAATAGTGATGGGAATGGGTGGGGCGGGGCGGGTACTTCAATACTCATGTCCTGCCTCAGTGCCTCATGCTACTGCAGGTCAGGGTGGGTAATACACGCGCGGGTACAGAGTGGGGCAGGGCGGCTCGACCCACTGTTACATATTATTTGAAAAAAATACATGCAAAATTTTACTTTTTATTATAAAATGAAAAGAAAACACTTTATGAATGAAAATATAGTTATAATAGAATGAGTAGTTGAGTCTAATTAGTTAAAAAATCAAGTCTAACTAGTTGGAAAAAAAAATCAAAATTGGGGAAATAGGGATAGATGCTAGAGGTGGCAAATGGATCTGATCCATGGATTGGTGGATTCATGGATTAGATCAAGTGGATTGGTGAATTATCCATGCCAAATGACATCCTCAACCAATTACCAATATGTAAAAATGTAAAAAGTTTAGGTACTATAATATCATAATGAAAATTTTTGGTACCAAAACGTAATTTTTCAATGATATTTTTCGTATAAAAAATTAAATTTTGGGTACCAAAATGTAAATTATAAAAAGTATAGGTACCAAATCGTAATTTTCCATTTGGATCCATTGATCAATCCATGAATCCACCAATCTAATTGGGTTTGGATCAAATGGATTGGATTAGGTGGATATTTTTAATGGATTGGTGGATTGGATTGAGAATTGCCACCTCTAATAGATAGTGCAAGAAATTGAGACATAATGGATCAAGAATGGTGCGGAGTCGGGTGGGGTGGAAGTAGATGCTCATGCCCCGCCTCACGCTACTTCGGGTCGGGTACTACCCGGTCCATTGCAGGTAGGGCAGGTTCAAATTGACATCTCTAATCATAATGACCGAGGAATGCAAATGTACTTTTTATATTTCGCATACACGGGGTCGGTGGATAATCGATTGAAAGAAGTAAATAATAATAATAAAGTGATAATAAGACGAAGATGAATTAGTTTTCTAAGTTGAAGTTGGCTTTTCATCAACCTAATTTCTTCTTCTTCTTTTATAGAATCATCAACCTAATTAACATTCACGATTTATAATCTCAGAATTACCGAAATCAAACTTGCAACCCTACCAACATCAATTATGGATGCATTGGTAGTAGTAGCGTTTATGTTATGAAATGATGGAGTTTATCCATTGGTGCATAGAATTGATACATGTTGTAATCAATTAGACCGGAAGAGGGTCCCAACTGCCCAGAAAACTCGAGTACTATCCCAAGGGGCGGAGTGGTTGATGACATTCAATCTCTCCCCTCTCTCTCTCTATTTATGGCGTTTCTGAAATAACGCCTCCCAAAGCCAATCCCCACCCGTCCTCCCCACATTACTCACTCTCAAAGGAGAGTTGGAGAAAGTCAAGCGACTTCTCCTCCTTCTCCATCTCGGCATCTCCATCTTCTTCTTCTTCTAGCTATCTAAGCATGGCAAGAGAGAAGCTGCAAGGGCGAATCACCATATGTCCTGCTGCAGTGCTGCTGCTGGTGCTGCTCGTGGGTTCGGTTAGCTGCAGTCATCATCATGCAAATCATCATCATCATGGAGCGAAAGAAGGAGGAGAAGCGGAAAGGGACAGGATAAGGTCGCTGCCAGGGCAGCCGGAGGTGAAGTTCCAGCAGTACTCCGGCTACGTGACCGTCGACAAAGCAGCCGGGCGAGCCCTCTTCTACTGGCTCACTGAATCGTCTTCCTCCCACGCCCTCTCCGACCCTCTGCTCCTCTGGCTCAATGGAGGTAATAACCTCTCAACTTATCAAAACCCTCCATATATGTGCTTTATTTTACCTCTTCCCATGAAACTGTTTCAGAATGTGGAACTCACCAAAGCATGCATATGCATTATGAAACTGTTTTGAGAAAATGATGATCATTCACCTTGCTCATTAATTAGCTTCTCTCATCATATTATCAATGTGAAAAGATGTAACCGTAACTGCTAATAACCTCTTTGTTGCGTTAATTAGAGAGAGAGAGAGAGAGAGAGAGAGGGGTGGGAGTGGGTGGTGATATCATAAATCAGGGGAGGGGCATGGGCAGGCAGGGCACATGAATGGTGGTGTGTCACTCACTCAGCTCAATCACTGCCACCATTGGTTGGGCTCATCAACAAAATCATGACCCAACCACTTCATCACTTCCCTGCTAACTAGCCACTTCTTTCTTGTTTTTTTAACTTCTTGTGGGTTAACTCATTGAATATGTGTATATGGCCATGCCACCACCATTGACCATTGTCATCAATCATCATCATCACGTATGGCTGGTTTTTACCCTCTTTCTCATCCATTTCTGCTGGCATGGAGTAATTTGGAAGCAAAGTAGATAGGGACCAGAAGGCCACTCTATCTCTCTCTCTCTCTTCTCTCTCATTATTATTACGATTAGGTCATCACTATGGGAACAGAAGCCCCCACAGTCACACACTACCCTGAAGGCTTAACTTAGCTTAGGCCACATCTTGTCAGCATTTCGGCCGCATCATCAATGCCTTGGTTTTTTTTTTCTTCCTTCCACTCTTTTATGAATGGGGAATTCGAGCGGCGCATACGTCTCTAACTTTCTTGAGAGTGCCGCTTAATTTAAAACAACCTATCACTGCTATTGTCTGTCTGTGTTATTTCCCATCATTAACTTTTTTGTTTGCTTCTATGCTTCTAGCTATATTCTACTCAATAATTCCCCCCTCCACTCCACCTCTTGACCTCTCATTAATTTCCAGTAATGAACCGAATTGACCAGTTAACGCACACACAAAAATTCATGGACTATATATTTGAATTCCCTGCCCTTCTTCCCCAACCAACCAATACCTTTAGTCAACTTTCCTAACTTATGAATTGGGACCAATTTTGCCTGTACCAAATAATAAATACGCACCCTCTGCTTCTGGCCCCGTTTGCCGAAATTGTAGTACAATAATGACAACGGCAAGACTAAACCTCTAATTCCACTGTCATGGTTTCTAATTTGCTGCCTGTTTTTGGTAAATGACGATCAGGTCCAGGTTGCTCATCGGTGGCGTATGGCGCATCGGAGGAAGTTGGCCCCTTCAGGATCAACAAGACTGCTTCGGGTTTATACCTCAACAAATTCTCATGGAACACCGTCGCCAACTTGCTCTTCCTCGAATCCCCTGCCGGCGTTGGCTTCTCCTACTCCAACCGATCCTCCGATTTGCTCGACACCGGCGACATTCGCACCGGTAGATAACAACTCAAAACTCCCGTTACTTAAACGATGCTGCTCTGTTTCATCAACAAACCATGATTAGTGATTGCTTTGTTTTTTTTGTTAATCTCTTTGTTCAGCCAAGGACTCACTAGAGTTCCTGGTCCGGTGGATGGACCGTTTCCCTCGTTACAAGAACCGGGAAGTCTACCTCGCCGGAGAGAGCTACGCTGGCCACTATGTCCCTCAGCTGGCTAGAGAGATTATGCTCTATAATAAGAACTCCAAGCATCCAATCAATCTCAAGGGGATCATGGTACGTATGTTCATACGTTGCTTCAACTACTTACCTTATTGAATTTGCACATTTGATGAACGTTACTGCTTGCATTGCGTGCATTTGTTCATTAGGTTGGGAATGCAGTGACGGACAACTACTACGACAACCTAGGCACCGTGACCTACTGGTGGAGCCACGCCATGATCTCCGACAGGACGTACCGCCAGCTCATCAACACCTGCGATTTCCGGAAGCAGAAGGAGTCCGACGAGTGCGAGACGCTCTACAGCTACGCCATGGATCAGGAGTTCGGCAACATTGATCAGTACAACATCTACTCGCCGCCTTGTAATCGCTCCGATGGAAGTAGTAGGAATACTCGCCACTCCATGAGATTGCCTCACCTTCCCCGTAACAACAAGGTTAAGTCGATTTGCAAGTGTTTGAAAGTAAATTTTTTTTTATTACCCTTTTGGTGTAGAGATTGTTTATCTTTTTTACCATTTTGGGTTCATATTTGTGTTTGCAGGCTCCGAGGGAGCTGAGTGGGTATGATCCATGCACGGAGAAGTATGCAGAGACATACTACAATAGGCCAGATGTGCAGAGTGCTCTCCATGCCAATACCACCAACATCCAGTACAAATGGACTTCTTGCAGGTTACTGCCCATATGATTCATGACAATTTTGCTTATTCTGATGAATGAGCAGAGTGCTCTGTATGTGTTAATACCGTTTGATTGTTATCCCTCTGTGTCAGCTGCAATTCAGCTTGAAGCTGATGTTTGTGTTTGTTTCTGTGGTTGATGATGCAATGCAGTGAGGTTCTGAATCGGAACTGGAACGATTCAGAGACAACCATCCTCCCAATATACAGGGAGATGATTGCTGGCGGCCTCAGAGTTTGGGTTTTCAGGTTGGATTAGCAGCTTACCTTCTTCATGAACAAATTTTGAGAAGATGTTTGGACTTAAACATTGACGAATCATGTTCCGATGTGTGCACAGTGGGGATGTGGATTCGGTGGTGCCAGTAACAGCAACAAGGTACTCTCTGGCACAGCTCAAGCTGGTGACCAAACTGCCATGGTACCCTTGGTATGTTAAGAAACAGGTCAGTATACAGCAACTACTATAACCAACTCACTCTAATTGCTTGGTCAATAGAAGCATTTCTAGCTTATCATGGAGAAGTGATTTCTGAGATTTTGTTTCTGTGTGTGTGAAATGTGAAGGTTGGAGGGTGGACAGAGGTATACGAAGGGCTCACATTCGCAACGGTGAGAGGAGCAGGACATGAAGTGCCACTGTTCAAACCAAGAGCAGCTCTTCAGCTTGCCAAGTCTTTCTTGAAAGGCAACCCTCTCCCTAAATCCTGAAGAAGGCCGACTCCCAAAGTGGGGATGATCAAATGTAATCAATTCCACAGTGTCTGGTGTCATCAACTTTGTGGGTAGAGCGTACGTAAGAAAGGTAGCTAGTTAGGAATGTGGGTCAGAAAACAAAGGGAAACAAATCCAGAGAGGCAGGGGATCAGGGGAAAATGAAAAGGGAAGGAGAAGAATATATATGTTGATTGAAGGGAATTGGGATGTCATTGTGAGTTGGTGTTTTGCCTTTTCTCTTTGTATTGGGGAAAACTGTGTCTTAGTCATTTGACTATTTATCCTCTGCTATCTCATTGAAAACAATTGGGGATGGGAAAAGACTGTTGTTCTTTTTTGCTACTGTTTTGTGTGGTTCTGACTTGTCTAAAAACATTTCATGAACAGAAATGATGGTTCACTCCCTAAAACGAGGGGATTTCGGATTTGGGGCAGATGAGCCTGTACGTAGGGGTGGGCATCCGGTTCGGTAAACCCGAACCGAACCGAAACCGAAACAGACCGAACCGAAACCGAAATATTCTTGTTCGGTTCGGAATTCGGAAGGCAGAATTCATTATTTCGGAAATCAGGGTCTGTCCAACCGAACCCGAATTCCGATTTCCGAACCGACCAACCGAACTTACACCCACAACCCCCAAAGCCCACAACCCCCAAGCCCACAACCCCCAAAGCCCACAACCCAAACAACCTCAAGCCCGTCCCATTTTTCTAGTAAAACCCTAGCCCTGGTTCCTCTGGTTCCTCTGAGGCGGCGGAAGCTCCAAGTCTGCGACACCATCTCCTTCTTCATTCTTTCCCCCACCCGATCCACCCAAAAACTCACATCTCTGTTCCTTCCCCCACCCGAGTCGGCGAGTCCGCAGCGACAGAGTTCAAGATCTGCCAGCTTCGACGCCATTACCCCCAAACAAAGATCTGCTCGACGGCATCGCTTCCCTTCAAAACTTCAACCAAATATAAACATGCAACACGAAATCGATGAGAGACGTAGAGGCGAAGGAGAAAAACAAACCAAAACTTTCATGCATACTTGGATATTAAACATCACTAACCTCTAACCCTCGTCGCTGGAATCGTCACAATCATCGATGTCAATCGCCGTCGCCGTTGCCGCTGGGTCGTTCTCTCCTTCAATCGCTGTCGCCGCCTGCACGAGTTCTTCCCTCCGTCAATCGCCGCCTGCCCCAAGTTCTTCCCTCCGTCAATCGCCGGAGACGGGAGGAAAAATAGTCGCTGGCCGTTGCTTTGTGATCTTAGGAGAGAGAGAAGAAGAAGGAGAGAGAGAGAGAGAGAGAGAGAGAGGAGAAGAAGAAGAAGAAGAGAGAATTGGTTCTTGTTCTGCGGGAAATGGTGGGTGGGGAAAAAGGTAGGTGGGGTTTAGGTAAGTGGGGAAAGTGGGGAGGGAGAGAGACAGATAGAAAATTCGGGCAGAGTCTCCGAACCGAACCTAACCGGGATATATTTCGGTTCGGCTGAACCGAACCGAAATATATTTCGGTTCGAATTCGGTGGGGGTCTTGGGAAGCTCGGAAATTCGGGATGTTCTGGTTCGGTTCGGTTTGAACCGAACCGACCGAACGCCCACCCCTACCTGTACGGTTGAACGAGAACTATTTGCATGGGCCAGAAAGGAGAAATGGAGGAAACACATGGGCTACGAATAGCATAGATCAGGCCTTGGGCCTGCAAGCAGCTTGTTAGCCTCTACTGATCAGTAAATGTTCATAATATCATCTATAGGCCTGGGCTTGGTCCATACCGGATCACAACAAACCAAACATATGCTTCTATCGGATCACACCGAATCGAATATAAAAATGGTATTGACGTTGATCCATGAATTTTATAGATATTAGATACTGAAAGAAAATGAACCAAATTAACATATGGATCGGAATAAAGCAGATCGAATGTACTATTGGTCCAGTCCTTGATCCTAGAATTTCGTCTTTGGACCAAAAGCAGACGAGGGGCGAAACACAAAAAAACTAAGATATCTTTCACTATTGTATCTAGGGGTGTACATGGGTCGGGTGGTCCGGGTTTAGACATTTTAATCCCCCGACCCATGCACTACGGTTTGAGAAATATTAAACCCAAACCCACCCAAAAAAATCTAAACCCTACGGTTTGTTTTTAATTGGGTTGGGTCGGGTTGACGATATTTTTAAGTAAAAACCCAACCCAACACAAAATATGTAATTATTCTACACCATAAAAATATTTTATAACTAATTAAAAATTCGAACGAATAAACCGAGGTGAAAGGTATCAAAATTCACAAATGTTGTTTGAATTTTAATAAAATTTGATTTACTTCAACTTATGTCTATTTTTTTCACAACATTTGTTAAAATAGGCTAAAAAGGTTACAAATGAGTGCATCCATAATATGTTATTCTATTAAAATTGTACACAAGAAAAAAAAAATGTGAATCATAACTATATTAAATTTATGTCTAAATTTTAAGCCGGATAATGCATTAGATTAGGCGGACCTTAAGAGAAAAACATGGTGAAATATCTTAATTTTCTCATAAGTATGGCTATATACGACATAATTTTTTTTTTTGTATTTGAACTCATACCAATAATTGGAACACGGGTTGGGTCGGGTTCTACGGGTTGTGTAATCCAAAATCCAAACCCAACCCAAAAGAGGCGGGTTGTACAAAAGAAAATCCTCACCCAACCCAAAACCTTCGTTTTAGCGATAAATATGGGTGGGTTGAGTCGGGTTGGACGATTGGGTCGGTTTGCGGGTGTGTTTGTTCACCCCTAATTGTATCGCGATTCTTCTGAGTTTGGTCCGGACCGATGCCCACCCCTAATATCAACAACAACCAGTACTATTGTTTATATACTGGTTTTGTGTCTCTGAAGATGCATCAACACCTAATTCATGAGATTTTATGTCTATTTATACAATTTGATACCCAGTATAGCAGTTATTTACATAATAATTATTGTTATTCACGAAAACCGTGGTGGTTATTAATACAAGTTGATGTTTATTTACACATGTTGTCATGTGTTCAGTCTATTGTAAAATTAATTTTAAATTTTACTAAAATTAATATTATTGTATAAATTACGATCAATGCAACTTATTTTATACAATCAATTTGAAAATTCAAAATTTTACTCAATAACTTATGGCTAACTCAAATTATTAGAAGGGGGAAAGAAAAAAAGGTTGGGGTTTCATTATCTGTTTTGTCTCTAAAGGAGCCACAGAAAATTTTCTACTTTTGAACTTTTCATGTTTTTTTTTTGTAAGAATAGGGCGCTAAGGGCGCCCTAACCTTTATTAAGCACGAACAAAGCGGGGGTTTCACCTCCCACACGATCAAACATCAGCCAGTACAGAAGTTTAGTGTCAGGCCTATCCAAAATATGCACCCCAATTGATCGGGAGTGACCCACAGAAGCTAAATAATCCGCGGCGAAATTTGCTTCGCGGAAACTTTTCATGTATTTGAGTGTGATATATATGCATTTTCAATTGCCTTAAAATGATACAATTTCAATCATCTGAGAGTAAAAACAAAAAAAAATATACTTTATCCTAGTGGTTGAACATTCCCACTCAGCTGGGGGAATGGTTATTATGTCCCCGGATAGAGGGATCCTTATGGCGGGTGGTGTTCAGTTTCCATGCATTGAGGATCCCATGGTAGTAGAGGTGTTGGTGCTTCGGGAGGCTATTCTGTGGTGTCTGAGTCGGAATATCATGGAGGTGTGTTTTGAAGGGGATGCTAAGGTCATTATTGACAAAGTCAGCCAGACGGATGCTAGTGATAATCGGATTGGTGCTATTCTTGCTGAAATTATTCATCACTTGGCGGTGCGCTCAGGGTTTAGTGTTAGATTTGTAGGTCGGAATAACAATAGGGTAGCCCATTTGGTGGCTCGTAAGGCCCTCTATTTGTACCCTACTGCAAGTCGTTTCTTTGATTTTCAGGCCTGGCTGATCTCCAGGATGTAATTATCCTTTGTTTCGATCAATGAAGATTATTTTTGTCAAAAAAAAAAAAAGAGAGAGTAAAAACTAAAAAGTATTCAAAAACTCACTCTATAAAATTGGTTACGTGCAAGCAGTGTGTGGTAAGATCGTGGGACTTGGGATGCAATTGTTCTGCATAATGATTGAGCGTTAAATGAAGTCACAAAAACTAGAGAAATGCTCTTGATACCGATTGGCTTGAATGAGTCAGAGGAGAGTAAAATTTCGTGTGTAGAAATGAAATTCGGAGATCTATAAAGCAACAGCAAAAAGCAAAGACAACTCACTACCAGTGTGGTATCACATGTTGCATGGTTGTCATGTCGATGACATGCCACCCGATTGAACCTGGCTCAACCTGTCGGTCATGAAACCGACATAACACCATCGGTATGATCGACTTACGCATTTAAGTAAAATGACATCATTTTAATGAATTTAATGAACAAAAAAGTAATTTATTATTCATTTTATGAATGTAATAGTTAAAAGTTGATGATATTTGTTGGATTGTAACTAAATTGTCCACAAATATGTTTTATATATGATTAAATACATTAAATATTAATTGTTTCCACATTTTCTTAAACCGGCACGAACCGGCACAAACTGGTTATACCACCGGTCATACCATTTTACTTGCCAAACCGACACAACGGTATAAACCGGTTTGACAGTCATGTTGCGAACTTTTCTAACACTTGTACTAAACCAAAGAGTGTATTGGTAAATAATCTTCACATAGTAGCATGCAATTCAATTACCATTGAGACAATTAACATTGATTTATAAATGCACTGAAACAAATCCACCCAAAGAAAAAAACAAAAAACAAAAATGAAACATGTTAAGAACACGTTTGCTCCACTTCATGGATTTGATGAACAAATTCCATCACTTACAGCCTGTTTGGATTGACAAAAAAGTAAGGAATTGGAATTCCATTTCCATATATATGTTTGGAATAATAAAAAGGTTGAGAAATGAGAATTGAATTCCAATGGGTCTAAAATATGGGAATTACAATTCCTATCAAAAGTGATAGGAATTGAGAGAATGAAGATTGAATTAGTGGGACCCATCAATACTTTTTATTATTTTGTTGACCCACTATCATTTTACTCTCTTTCTCTCTCATTCATATTTCATTTCCCAAAATAAAACAAACATATTACATTATTCATTATGGTTAAAAGTGCAATTCATTTCCATAGTTGTAGGAATTATACCAAACACTAGAATTGGAAATGGAATTCTATAAAAATAAAAAATTGAATTCCATTTCCATTTCCATTTCTTCCGGAATTGTATCCAAACATGCTGTTATAGACTTTGATCATAGTCCATTGGTAGCTTCATGGAGTTAGGAGATCCAAATTTGTGGGGTGTTTGGACTTAGAGGATCCAAATATGTGGCTGTGAGATTTGTGGACTTCGAAAATTTTATCTCTTAGAGTTAGAATTTGGATGAGAGGTTAAAGTCTATTATAAAAGCTTTACCTATTTATCATCAATTATTTTTTAATTACAAATTCACCTTCCCATTTTCTTTTTAGAAATTTGGCGTCTCGTTTGTGTTAATTACATAATGTAAATATTTTATTGATTACATGTTTCGTTTGCATGTAGACTCCTTTTGGGTCTTGAAATATTGTAGAGGTATACTCAGGTAACTTCTAAACTGCTTCGCGTTTGACTCAGACTGAGATGACTGGTTTTATTCTCGGAAAAGTTGTTGATGATGTTACTCAGTGAAAGTGTGTCAAGTATCGGGACTTGTGCATGCCAGTTGGTTATAGTTTCCTGTCCTTTTTCTTTTCTTCGCTGGGAGAGTTTGATAGGGATGTCGTGGCTCTACTCAAGCGAATCCAGAAATTCTCTGTGTCACAGGATGTGGGGGCCCAACAGTTGCGTACATATTTGCTCGACTTAACTTTGCTATAGCTAAAGTAGTGGGAGCCCAGATTGTATCTCGGTTGCCCACTATTTTTTTGTAAACCTTTGTTTGTTCTGTTTTCCACTATAATGATGATAGCCATAATAATAAGGGTTATAGGTATAATATGCCCCTCTACTATGACGTTTTATCAAACATGTCCCTCTACTATTTTTTACATCAAACATGCCTCCTGTACTTTGGAAAAACTATCAAACATGCCCTTCAGTTGAAATTTTCATTGAAAAAAATCGTCAATCATGATTGAACCGAGATTTAGACGACCTGACATCGATAAATGGGAGTGGAAATGTCAGTTTTGACCCTTGTATTATT